ATAAATCTTAAGTGTATGGCTCAATGAATTTTACCTATATATATATGCCCATATAAAATATAATTCGAGATACACATTTCCTAGAAAGTTTCCCTTGTTCCCCTTCTCAGTCAATACCCATCCCCTCCCCAGAGATAACCACTATTCTTACTTCTTGCCCTCCAAATACATCTGACATTCTAAATATACAAACAGAAAAGTGCTGGAGAAATAGGGAAATTAGAGAAAACAGCATCTACTTTAAATCTGTTTATTATCTTACTGGGGAGACAAGGTGTTATGGTCAAGTGTTGAAATCCTAAACCCCTCAAAGGTGATGATATTGGGAGATGGGGCCTTTAGGAGGTACTTAAGTCACGAAGATGGAACCCTCATAATTGGGATTAGTACCTTATAAAAGACATCTCACAGAAATCACTAGCCCCTTCCACCTTGTGAGCATATAATGAGAAGGGAGCGACCCAGAAAAGTGCCCTCACCCATTTATGCTGATACCCTAATCTTGGACTTCCAACCTCCAGAACTGTGAGAAATAAATTTCTGTTGTTTATGTCATTGAGTCTGTGGTATTTTGTTACAGCAGCCTGAATGGACTGAGGTACAAGTTTAAATAAGAGCAAAAAATGTTGAAAAAAATATAGCTTATGATCATTAATATACACCTTTTTTCATGATAAATCTCATTAGATAAGTAAAATAATGTCTAACATATTTCTCCTAACTTAATGTGCAGTATTTTCCTTTAAAGTGGTAGATAACAAACCATGCAGTAAGAGCTATATGCTCTTTTTAAAAATATTTGCTGTCATTGTAGATAATAACAAATGCAGGTTTTATAATAAACCAGTCAGCCCCCTTACTAGGATCCTAAGGTACGTATGTATTATTCCTTTAATGGTACTTTATTAACACCATCATTGGCAATAAAAGGTGGAGCTACATGTATTCTCTTCAATATTAAATGAACTGGGCTGATAGAGGCTCTCAGAAACAGGTGGTAAATGGTATAGATTTTGCCATTCTCAAAGGGAACAAGAAAGGGCAAAATATAAAAAGAAAGTTGATAAGAAATATAGAACAAAAGGAAAAGATCAGAGAATCTGATGATACTTCAAGCTATATACTAGTTTGTATTAAGACATTTTATTGAATCCTGTTCCCTATACCAGCAAGAGTATCGACAAGAATGAGAATATTTCTACAGTATTTGGCACTTCTGTGTTTAGATGAGTAAGAAATAATTTTAACTTTCTGTGATTTATGATCCACCATATTTGTCCAGATTAGGAATAGCTCAGAAGATGGAAGTATGAAAAAATTATTTTTAAAAAGGTCAGCATATTTATTCCTTTTATAAAAATGTTGTTATTCAGTAGGCGCGGGCGGCTGAGAGGCCGGCGGACGCACCCGCCCGAGGGAGCCCGCCGCCGCCGGCCGGACTTGGCCTCGCTCCCGGAGCCGGGCGGCAGTCGCGGCGGCGCAGCCTGGCTGGAGGCGCTGGGCCCGCTTGAGCGGCGGCGGCAGCGATCGGAGCGGCGCGATCGGGGCGGCGGCGGGGAACGGGCTCCGGGCGCCGGGCATCGGGCGGGCGCCGGGGCGCGGCGCGGCGGGGAAGATGACCGTGGGCTCCGGCGTGCTCCTCGTGCTGCTCTCGCTCTCCGGCGCGCTCCGGGCCCACAATGGAGATCTTACAGCCAGGGAGTCCTGCAAAGCTGGATTCTCCAAAGAAGATTACACGGCATTAATCTCCCAAAATATTCTGGAAGGAGAGAAGGTCCTCAAAGGTAAGGCAGACGTGTAAATGAAACGGCGTACCGTGCTCTGGATTAGGGAAACATTACCACCCACAGAAAAAGAGGCTTGGCTGGCTTTGAGCCAGGCTCTTTGCAAAAAAAAAAAAAAAAAAAAAAGGGGGGGGGGGCGGGGGGGGGGCGGGCGCCCCCCCCCCCCCTGCCGATGCCGGGGACGCGGGTTCGTGCCCCGGTCCGGGAAGATCCCACGTGCCGC